CACGCCCCCTACGCTTGGCCACTCCCCTCAGGGCTCAGGCACCGCCTTCGAGCGCCCCCTGGCAGCGGGGCAGGAGCACGGCAGGGGGATGAGGGTAGGGATGGGGATGGGGAGATGGGGATCGGCAGGGATAAGAGCAGGGGCAGGGGAACAGGGATGGGGATGGGCAGGGATAAGGGCAGGCGTAGGGGAACAGGGATGGGGATGGGGAGGGGTAAGAGCAAGAGCAGGAGCCTCGGGCATCCCAGGCTGGGCCCCCCCACGCTGTCCCTCCCTAATGCTTCTTCCTGCAGGACTGCTGGTGGCAGCAGGATCTCCCCTGGGTCCCGCCAGGCCTTGGGGGCAGCCGGGCCCTCCGGGCACACGGCTTCTCAGGCAGAGCTGCCACCGGCCAGCAGGACAACAGGCCAGGCCAGAGCCGGGCAGCGGGGGGCTCCCTGAGGGGGTGGAGTACATCCCCACCCGCAAGAGGGGCAAGAATCCGATGAAACCGGTGGGAGTGGCCTGGTGAGTGGATCAGACAGTGGGAGAGGGCGGGCCCGGGAGGCTGCACTGCTCTGCAGGGCTGGGGTGGAATGGGGGCCCTGGGGGGCTGTAGTACTGAGCAGGGGGCTGCCCCAGAGTGGCACAGCACCCTTGTTTCCCTGCCAGCTCTCTCCATCTCCTGACTACTAGTTGTCCTGCAGGGCCATCGGATTGCCTTCTGGAATAATCCTCTTCCTCCTGGCCAAACGGCAAGTGGACAAAAACCGCCTGGAGCAGCTCAAAATCCGCCAAAAGATGATGCAAGCCAACCAGGGGGAGTACGAGACAGAGCGATACAAGACAGTGGCCAGGGGGGCATAGCCAGGCTGCCCCCCATCCCCAGGCTGGCACTGTGGCACCTTGAAGGGACTGGACAAGGGACACCAGCCCCATGGGACACTTGACACTGTCACCTGCCCTTCCTGTCCAGTCCAGAGAGTGGTCGTGGAGCTGGACAGGGACAAATAAAGTGGAAGAGCTCAGTGCATATGTGGTTGCTCCCTCACTGCTCAGCCCCAGTTCTGCCCACAAGGCAGGGCATACAGGCAGGCAAGGGAGGCCAGGCCTGGAGCAGTTTGACCTTGGTTTTTCCATCCCTTGGTTTTCCCATCCCAAAGCAGTGTTTGTGCTGCACCAGGCCACAGCCCCCACAGAGGCTGCCCACAGGTTTTTCGAGGGAGTTGCCGCACCAATAAGACCGGCACCATCTGGAAAACTGAAGTGTTTTTATTTAGCAAGTGCAACTTTGCCCACATCCGTGGCTGCAGGGCCTCTGCAATGTGAGCTCTGCCACGGGGGTCCCAGCTGCCCCCCGCCCGTGCCAGGCACAGCCGCAGCTTGGGGGGGGCATGGCCGGAGCCGCATTTAAGGCACCGAGTGAATGACACCAACCAGACTCTGCCAAAAAATTCCAACGCGATCCCAGCAGCTGCTGCCAGCTCCCGGTGCCCACGTAGGGCTCTGGCATCCCATTGCCAACCCAACGCCATTGGTACAGCCTCAGTAAGCGGTGCCAAGGCCGGGCACTGCCTAAACACTGGCAGCCAGTCCCCCCCACTGCCCTGGGAGGCTTGTTGGGGGATGATCAAGGGAAGCCCTTTCCTTAGCAGCCTACAGGTAGGAATGCCAAAGCGTTAAGAGTCACAGTAAGTGAACTATCCTGTATAGAGACAAGAGGAGGGGGTGAGGGGCAGCTGGGGAGGACAGGAGGGGTCCCAGGGCTAATCCCGGCCCACTATCTGCAGGAGGAAGGTGAAGATGTAGATGATGTCGGTGTAGATGGTGAGGGCACCATAGACGTACTCCTCGGGGCTCAGTGTGTTCTTCCTGTTCCCCAGCACAAGTTGGGTGTCATAGGCAAGGAACTGGGGGGCAGAGGGTGTCAGGCAAGGACAGAGGGGGGATTCCTCCCTCCCCAGTCCCTGCCTGACACCCTCTGCCCACCCCAGCCATGAACTCACCAGTGTGAACGCGATGGCCCCGATGGCTGCGTACAGCATGTGGAGCCAGGAGACCTGCACAGGAAGGGGACAAGGGAAGGGTGAGCCAGGGTGCTAGCAGGCAGCAGGCAAGGCAGGGCAGGTCCTGCCCACACCCAGCTCCCAAGATGCTGATGCTGACGCATCCTCTCCCTGCAGGCAAGCTGCCTTTTGTGGCCGGCACCACACCCTGCTTCCCAGCAAAGGGGGACCACCCAAACCCCATGCCTGTACCAGCCCTGGGGACACCTGACCGGGAACACCCATTGGCACCCCACAGCCCCTCTGTCCCCCCGACTCACATATTGGAAGGAGAGGACGATGGCAGTGATGATCCCGGTCACCATGACCACAATGCCCAGCACACAGAACAGCCCCGGACACGATGTAAAATCAACCTGATGGGACACACACACACACACACATGTAACAGGAGAGCCCAGGGTGTTCCCACTGACGTGCTCCCTCCCCGAGGTGGGGCAGGGCAGGGCATCTCTCCTTGCCTTGGTCTGGAAGCAGAAGATGGTGACAATGATGGCCACAATGGCAGTGATGAGCATAGCAATCAGGACAGCATTGGTCCGGTGCACGCTGTGGATGGAGGGGACACCACAGTCACCTCACGCTTCGGCATCCCCCTGCCCAGTGGGGTGTTGGTGACCCCCTGCACAGCCCAGATCCTGGACAGGAACCCCCCTGTCTGTAAGCCCAAGTGACTGAAGTGTCCCCTGGCTCTTGACAGCCTCCCACTTGAGCCAGCTGCATTGGGGAGGACAGGAGGGACACCAGCTCCTGTCACCACAGTGTCCCTAGGCCATACCTGGCAATGCTCCCTGTCATCAGCCCCATGGCCAGTGTCTGTGGAAGAGAAGGGTGGGCTCAGCAGGCTGGGTGGCACCACGGGGGGGCAGCAGTTCCTCGCTGCCCTCACATGCCCACATATCCCCCTATCCCTCCCAGCCTGTCCAGGGAGCTGCTGTGCCGTGGGGGCACCACCAGGACCCTCCACCAGTCCCAGCCCACTCACAAAGATGCTCAGCAGGATGATATTCCATGGAAAGCGTCTCCTGAGGACAAAACGAGGAGAGAGGTGAGCTGGTGACAGGGGCTACATCATATTCCTCTGGTCCCCAGTCCCCCAGGGACAGCCCCAGGCAAGACCCCCAGTCTTAATGCTCTAGAGACACCCCTGCCATATCCACACACCCCACCCTGTGGGTCCCAGAGACTCACCGGGGACCCTGGCAGCAAGCCAGCACCAAGTAGGTTACCAGGAACACAGCACTGCAAAGAGAGGCAGGAGGTGTCAACCCTGCAATCTCCCACCAGGACCAGCCCCCAGGCTGGGAGGCTGCAAATGTGGGGGGCACGAGCTGGGGGAGCGCAAGCCAGCAGACCCCCTACTCACTATGAGGCGTAGTAGATGGCAATATTTTCCCGGACGAAGGAGCGGACAGGGTGGCTGTGGGACAAGAGGGACAAGCATGAGGGAGGGGGTACAGCAACTACTGTCCCCTTGGAATACCCCCAAGGGACACAGGGTCGGGCTCCCTTCTTTTTCAGGACAAGGCTACTCACTGTAGCCACCCCCTCCACTCACACAAAGGTGAACACAGAGATGATTCCCACTGTCACCAACAGCTGCAGGGAGATGATGGCATAGACCTGCAAGAGACAGAGGGGTCAGCATCTGGACCCTTGCCCTGACAGGTGCTGCCCCACCCTGACAGATGCCCCCAGCCCCTCTGGACTCACCTTGCGGATGAAGGTGTGCCGGATTTTCCTGTCGTCCCAATCAACTGATTGGAAGGGGGAGCCATCCCCGATGCCATCGCCACCTGTGGTGGTGGACACTCCTCAGCACCAGGTTCAGCTGCACAGCCCCTCACGGCAGCTAGTTTCTAGTGCCTTCCCCCCACAAAAAACAAGGTGCTGCCACTTACCGAAGCGAACAGGCATGGTGGGAATGGCCATCCCTGGATGAGAGTACCCCCCTGCTGCTGGGTAGCCCCCTGGCTGCCCGTACCCTGCTGCTGGGGGGTATCCCCCCGGCTGTGGGTACCCCCCAGCGTAGGGATGGGGCTGGGGGTACCCCCCTGGGGGTGGGGGGTAGAGGGGGTTCTTGTCATCGTAAGCTGGGGGTGCACTGGGCTGGGACATGCCGGCTCCCTGTGTCTCCCACAGGCACCTGGAGGGGAGAGAAGATGGGGGGTGTCAGCACAGGTCCCCCTCCCCAGGCAGGACGTGCTCCTGGTGAGTGGAGCTACAGGTGTAGGGACACAGGGGACCGTGCAGCCACAAAAACTCCCCCTCCCACTTCAATAATGGCTCCTAATTAATGACAACAAGTTGGCCTCGATGCCAGCAGGTCAATGAGAGGTGAGGGATGTCCCCACTGTCCCTTGGCCGGGGCCACCCACATTCCTGTGCCCTGAGTCCCCAGTGCCTGCGTCATGGCCAGCCACGGGCAGGGCACAGCCACACGCTGACTCAAGCTGCGTCAGGGACATGACCTTTCCAAAAGGGATTTGACCTCTTCAGCTTTTGGAGCCCACTCTGCCATTGCTGGGGGGCAGGAAACAGCCCCCCCACATGCCAGTGTGTGGCTCTTAGTAGCACCAGTCTGGGGACAAATGACATCATTCTATCCACTGCCTGAGATAGAAACACAGGGCCTGATCCTCATCACAGCCATGCAGACTCCCACTGCCCCCCCCATTTCAGGGGTGTTCCCCACCCACAGCCCAGTGGGTCACACGGAGGCTCCAGAACTCCTGAGTCCCTTCAGGGAGGGGACAAGTGACAAGTATAAGAACGAGTGACATAAGCATCACCTCTGCAGAAGATGGACTCTTCCTTGGTGAGGGAAGTCGTGACCCCGTCAGGGCTTAGCTCCCCTCCCCGGCCACACCAGGCCCCCTCACAGAGCCCCCAGCAGCTGTGAGCAGGCAGCCCGGGCTCAGGGCCAGCTGCTGGGCTTGGCCCCAGCAGGAGGAGGAGGAGGAGAAGGAAAGCAGGATCTCCAAGGCCAGGAAAACAACAGCGCTGCCAGAAGATGGTGCCAGGCCTTTCTTTACCCACCTGCCACCCCCAGAGTGCTGGCACCCCAGACCCCAGGCAGGTGCCAACACTCGCCACATCCCCCCTGCCTGCAACGGTGACGTGATTCTGGGACCATCCCGAGGAAGGAACCAGGACCTGATCCCAACCAGGACGAGGCTGGGAGGAGATCGGGCACTTCCTCCTGTGTGACGCCAGTGTTTCCCACAGCCAGGCTGGACAGGCAGCAGTGCTGGGGGGCACACCCATGCCAGCCATGCCAGGCCAGGGGGAGTAGTGAGTGGTTCAGTGTCTGTCCCTCCATCCCCCCTGCCATCCGTCTGCCCCAGCCCTGGCAGAGCTGCCATGGTCGTACCGCCCTTTGGCATCATGATGACGATAGCACTGAAAATAAATAACCCATGTGGCGGCGACCACCCAAACAGGAAGCTCACTTTCTCCACTTCCCTGTAGTTTCCTAGAAAAGCACACAGTGTCCCATGGCACCACCTCGCCTATGGGGCCAGGGAACGGCCCAAAATAGGAGTTTGACCCCAGGAAAGTCCCCATGACTGGCACTCAGTTATAGGGGGACCAGAGTCCCCAGGAGGGAACCCAGGTGTCTGGGGAAAATGGGGTGTATCCGGCCAGCAGGTGGTCACTGGAGGGGTTCTACCCTGTGCCTGTGGCCTGCACCCCGTGGCAGAGGTCCACTGACTGCCCCAGCCCCTCCTGCTCCCACCCCATCGGGGTGGCCTTGGGCACAGGGAAGGAACCAGCCTGACGGGTCCCTGCGGCCGCCGCACCCAGGGAAGGAAGCAGCTCTCTGAACCCTCCTCAGTCCATAGCATATCAGGGCCCTGAAATGAGAGGCCACCAAATGGCCACGCGGGACAGTTTGGTGACCCTGCTGTGACACGCAGTCCTGGGGACAGGGTGCTGCTCTGCACTGGCACCGTGACTCAGCACAGATAAGGCACATGTGGCAGGGATATGGGGCACAGGAACTGTCACCCCTTGTCACAGCCCTGTGGGTGGCACGAGGTAGTGTCCCCACCACTGGCCCTGGTATTCCTGCTGGGCTCAGCCTTCCACCACAAGCTCCACAGGCTTCCTGGGGCAACAAGGGCCACTTTGGGAAGGGACCATGGTTTGGGGTGGGAGCCAGGGCTCCCCACACTGAGGCTGCCTGAGAAACTACCTTACTCTTGAAGAGCCTGGAAGCCGCTACCAGAATGGCATGGCTTGGTACAGCACAGCCTGGCACGGCACAGCACAGCCTGGCATGGCATGGCACAGCCTGGTGTGGCACAACACAGCACAGCTGCTGCATGCAGCATGGCACAGCTTGGCACAGCACAACCCAACACAGCACAGCAGAACTTACCCTGGCCTAGCCTAGCACAGCCCAGCTCAGCTCACGCGAGCAGGTCAATGTGGCCCACCCAGGCCAGATGTCCCCATGCCACTCACACAGGACACAAGTTTGCTGGAGCTCAGCCTCGCCACCACTGCGTCTCTGCCCCCCTGCGAGCCCCCTCCTGAGGGGCAGGGCATGGGACAGGGGTGTCCCTCTGTGCCCCAGCCCAGGCACCCCCACAACACCCAGTGCCTGTCCCCACACCACCTTCGGTGCCACCCCACACCCTGACAAGCACAAACCCTTGCCCTCCCCTCCCGTCACACCCCATGGGGTCCGTGGGGACACCCTCCACAGAACTAGAGTCGGTGCCCCCCCACGGACCACCCCACACCACGCACCAATTCCCCGCCACGCGATCCCGTGGGGTCCGGAAAACAGCACCAATGCCACAGTGGGACCCCGCGCGTGGGGGTCCTGTCCCGCGGCCGTCCCTGCTCGCAGGAACGCCCTC